GCTAAAGATGCTACATGGGATTAAACTTTATTTTCTAAGAGAGTCAATTTTTTAAAATCTAAACATATATTTTTTTATTCTGTCCTTTTATTTGTATCAAAATCTTAAAAAAAAGAAAAACATTCACTGTATATCCTTTTATTTCATTCCTTCATTGTTATCTAAAAGTCCTCAGCAACTCTCCTCTCACTGTTATTGTTGTTCTATATTTACTTCTTTAACCCTCCAACTATATAACTCCTAACTTATTCACCATATTACAAACGTCACACGCCAAGATACCATCCCGGTGGGTCGGTACGCCCAATAAAACGACAGGTATATTTATAGGTCGAAGTAATCGAGTAGGAAAAGAGCTCCACAAGCCAATAATACCATGTACACTCGTAGTTCCGTAAAAGGTCAGGGGGTTTCTTGTCAATTTGAGTCAGTTATACCACCACCAAACAGGCCCTAGAGAATTGGGAGTGTGCCTGTCATTGTTGCTCCGTCACATTCACGCGAGGCCGGAAGGGAGAAGAGAGAGAACCGTTGCTTCGGTTCTCTCCTCTCCATCTCCGTCTCCTGTTCGATCCAAGCCGAACCCAGACTCTAACGGCGATGGATCTGGCCGAGAGATCTCGCCAATCCTTCCTTCCGAGCTTCCTCTACTCGCCTTCCCCGGCCGCCAGAACCCTGGCCGTGGACCGGATCCTAGGGAGGAGCCTCGTCTCGCCGGCGGCGGAGGTGGGTAGCACCTCGCCTACCCCGATCGTCGCCCAGGCACCCAACGAGCCCGGAAAGATCGAGATGTACTCGCCCATGTTCTACGCCGCCTGCACCGCCGGCGGCATCGCCAGCTGTGGCCTCACCCACATGGCCGTCACCCCACTCGACCTCGTCAAGTGTAACATGCAGGTGAGGTTCATCTCCTTTGTTCAAGCCCTAGATCTGGATGTTCGTTGGGCTACTCCAGGGTTCTCGTGGAATTGCTGCTCCTATTTCCCTAGATTTTTTTTTCTAGATTTTTACTGTAAAGCGTTGGGAATTCTCGAACCTGATGTTTCTGTCTCACTTGCCCTTTAATGTGATCTTTATATAGTTTAGCTCAGAACTCTGATTTTTAGGGTAGCTGCTGTTGAAATGGTGATATTGCATTGACGCAATATGAGCTTCTCTGGATTGGTGACTGATGCGTCCGGATTATACATATTGATTGGTTTCTTGGATTTGATTTCACTCTGCTTGGACTTTAAAGACATTGATTATTACCTCTTCATCTTGAGTAATGCTACTGATTTATTGTAGTCCAAAGATTTCCTGTTTCCAAGGTTCATCTTGAATTCTCTGAACTTGCATAGTATTCTATGGATCGATCTGTGAGTTTGAACACGATTCTCATGTGTTGATATCTGATATCCACCTGATTTGTTAGTTGTTGAATATAATTTGTTGCAAGTAATTTTCAGGTCTTGAATATTTTGTTTGTGGTAGACTCATTTAAATTGAATGTGTTTCTAGATCAGGTTGATTCTTTTGTTTATAAAATTATATTTAATTTAACATGAGTCTTTGCCGTCATATGTTAGATCGATCCAGCTAAGTACAAAAGCATCTCATCAGGATTTGGAGTCTTGCTAAAAGAACAAGGGGTCAGAGGGTTCTTCAGGGGCTGGGTACCAACCCTGCTTGGATACAGCGCACAGGGGGCGTGCAAGTTTGGGTTTTATGAGTTCTTCAAGAAATACTATTCAGATATAGCAGGGCCTGAGTATGCTGCCAAGTATAAGACGTTGATATATCTTGCTGGGTCTGCTTCTGCTGAGGTGATTGCTGATGTAGCTCTCTGCCCCTTTGAGGCTGTGAAGGTGCGGGTCCAGACACAGCCTGGGTTTGCTAGGGGATTGAGCGATGGGTTGCCTAAGTTTGTCAGATCTGAGGGTGTTTCGGGGTATGATCGCTTTCTTGTGTCATTTTATCTACCCTAATGTTTATCTGCATAGTCTGTTTGCCTTCTTTTAATGATTTTTTGCTCCTCAATTCTGTTTTGATGCAGATTGTACAAAGGCATAGTTCCGCTTTGGGGACGTCAGATTCCTTGTAAGTAAACGTTCTCCTATTGCTTGTTTTTATCAGCTGGTCAGTATTGTTTTGCAGATATTTCTGGCTAATTTGCTTTTGTGGTGTATTAGAAGTAGCATCTTGCCAAACCAATATTAGTTTTGTTGTTGTACATGGTGGCATAGTGCTGAATGCTGAAAACATTTAGAGGTCCATTACTGTAGGGTAAATTGAACGAGAAATCAGTTACTCCATTAGTTAATTAATTATGAGAGGTTTATTTCTAGACATGGTGCATGATCCTTGCATTCATAGAAACATGCTATAAATTCTGTTATAAGGGCTTCGCAGATCTATTGTTGATACAATTTTGTATTGTATTTTGTAGTGCTTTTGATATTTCTTTAGCAGAAACCAACAATGTGATCTGGATATGTGATGCCTCAAATATGAAACACTCCATTTTTCCTATCACTGGGCTGCTTGTCTTGTCTCTGATTCACTTTATATAGCATGCAGCAACCTTTTGTGCCATGCATTAAAGGTTTATCATGACTATGAGTGTGCATATGTTCTTCTTTTCACATATTCATAAGTTGTGGCTTCTTTTGTCAGGATTTACTTAAAATTACTTACAAAATGACTTGTTACTCTCTCTCAAAAGTTACAAAATGACCTCTTGGTTTCTTTATCGAAGTCAAGCATACATGTAATTGGATTAACATGCAATACTTGAAAACCCATGTAAAAATAATTATGCTATTACTATTTGAATATGTGTGTGATTCTCTGTGTATAAGTACAAATTTTGAGCTCTTTCTGTGAAATTGCATTGCTATAGTTGCTTCTTCTAGCATTGTAGTTTTAATTTTTGATAAGACCACATTTAGTTTCATATTGGTTCGAAAGTTGGATAGCCGAGACTTCATAAAGAGTCCAAAGTTACTTCTCTCCTAGAGGTGTTTAGACAATTTCTTGGGGGTCAGAGTGCTTTCACCGACGATAACTAGTGATGGACCTCATCAGTTTTTTGCTGCTCATGGCTTGCAGAAAGACCTTGGCTTCCAACCTAGAGACCTGATGAAGCCACATTTAGGCCTGTAGTGGTTGGAGAGTCAAGGACTTGAAGAGTCTACGATCACCCCTCTTGCAGCAGTACCTTTTGGGTCCATCCTGAAAAGGCAAATTTGTGGGGCCCATCCCAGAGTTTGCAGGAAAGTTCTCACATTGAGATGGCTAGTTTCAGATGATTGAAGTTGGGAACTGTGTTTTTATGTTTATGTTTTTATATATCAATGTTTACATGCTTAGATTTGCCTGTCATATAATCTCAAGTGTTCCAGATTAGCTTCTAACAAAATTATATGGGTTGCTCGGTGCAGATACTATGATGAAGTTTGCCTCATTCGAGACTGTGGTTGAGATGGTCTACAAATATGCTATTCCGACACCTAAGGAACAGTGTACCAAAACACTCCAGCTGGGAGTGAGCTTTGCTGGTGGTTATATTGCTGGAATTTTCTGTGCTATAGTTTCTCATCCAGCTGACAACCTTGTCTCTTTCCTTAACAATGCCAAAGGTGCCACAGTTGGTGATGTGCGTACTCAAAACATTCTGCAGTATATCAGCTCTTTCCTTTTTTCCTTAATCATATTGTGTTTATATCAATTTCTAATCTCTCATGCCTCTCTCTTCTTGTTTGGATTATGCACATATGATAGTTGTGATTGATGGAATTTATTTTATTCTGTTGCATAGGCTGTGAAAAAGCTTGGTATGTGGGGTCTTTTCACACGTGGCCTTCCTCTTCGCATTGTTATGATTGGTACTCTGACTGGTGCACAATGGGGGATCTATGATGCATTCAAAGTCATGGTTGGCCTGTAAGTGCCTCTTGGAAACTATCATTGATCTTCCCCCTTCTTAAGTTCATATGCTTAGAGTTTATAAGTAACTTTTTCAGGCCTACCACTGGTGGAGTTGCTCCTGCTGCAGCTCCTGCTTCAGAGGTTGGGAAGTTGAAGGCTGCAGCATAATTATTTATGGATATCAATGACACAATTTTTGACGTTTCAGTCCATTTTGCATGGAAGTGTAACATCATTCCAAGGCAAAACATTGATTGCTTTTGACATGTTTTCTGGGATGGTTTTATTCTCATCCCTTCTGCCTGTAAAACTCAATTAAACAGGTAATTGCAGCATTTAGCATGATAACAACAGAGGGCTTCCGAGGATTATTCAGTAATGGCCTTTGTAATTTAGATTATCATTTGTTTAGTCACTTATTTTTGGTTCTCTAATATTCGTGACAATGTGATTCTAGCAGGCTGTATTAGAAAGCTCGTTTCCCAATTCTTGCATGTATTACCTAAGCGAGGGGAACAACCTTACTGTGATGATAAGTACAATAAATGGCTACCTGTTTTTAGTGGTTATGGAGCCAGAGATGAAGTCTTATTCTTATGGATACATGTGCTTGCTACAAACTATTCACTACAAAGATAGTATTACCAATTATTGCTATGGTGCCTTTACTAAATTTTGAGTTGTCATCTTTAGAAGAAGTAATACCTGCGCATTTATTTCACCATTTTTTGATTGAATCGGTACCACTCTCTAAAAGCGATCCATCAACTGGTAAAGAGTCCATAGGACAAAAACGTGGTGGTGTAAGAAAGATTCATAATGAAACTATGCATAGTCAAAATCTGTTACTGGTTTTAATTAATTTTCATTAGAGTATCGGAAGATAGATTCGCTGAGATCGAGTGTCACTCACGCGTCATGTGAAGACAAGGGTAAGGTTGGCTTAGCTCAAATATATAATTAATATATTGGATGGAGACAGCCATAATGTTGAAGACGAGACATCTTCAACATGTTCGAGGATCACATGTCAAAGAAACATTTTCTTCTTCACATGGAATAGAATATTAAGTCATGGCTTTACTTTAGTATTGAATGACTCCGTGCCAAAATGGAAACCTTTCCTCTCCCATATTTGTACCTGGGTAGCCTTAACAAAATCCATCAACGTGAACAAAAGAACCAGGTTCTTGCTAGTAGCAGCTCCGACCTTGACCAACACAAGATGGAGATGGAGAGGGTTCAAGCCATCGCGTCCGTCTGTGCAGCCAACGGCGCCATGCCGCCAGAGTTCATACGGTCGGAGCACGAGCAGCCGGGCATCACCACCTACCGCGGCCCCGCCCCGGAGATCCCGGTCATCGACCTCGCGGGCGACAACCAGGACCAGTTGACGATCGCCGTGGCCGAGGCCAGCCGGGAGTGGGGAATCTTCCAACTGCTGAACCACGGGATTCCGGGGGAGGTGATACGTGAGCTGCAGCGCGTCGGCATGGAATTCTTCGAGCTACCGCAGGAGGAGAAGGAGAAGTACGCGATGGTGCCCGGATCGGGGAGCTTGGAAGGATATGGCACCAAGCTGCAGAAGGAGTTGGAGGGCAAGAAGGCCTGGGTTGATTTCTTCTTCCACTACGTATCGCCGCCGTCTCGCGTCAACCACGCCATCTGGCCCAAGAAACCTGCCGATTATAGGTAAAGTAATTATGTATACATATATATGTATATAGTGAGTTTATATATGGAATTATTCTCTTTTATGTGTTGTTTGAGGTGGTGACTAATTGGAGTTGGTGATCAGATTGAGGATTAATTTTATGTTAGTTGAGGATGATGCTTCGTGTAGACTTTCAAGGAAATTGGCGTAGGGAAGGAGACAATGTGCATGGTGTATTTTATATGGGCAAAGCAAGGTCATTGCTTAAGAATATGAGCCTCGCATTCCACGGCGAGCCATATTTTAAATGCCACTTCCACATCACCGCCATGTGCTTCATCCAGTCAAACCTCAGTATGTCTTGAATTATCTGACTCATCTAGGTAACCTGTTTTGACCTTTGCGGTTTTGACAGGCAAGTAAACGAGCACTACGGCAAACACCTGGCGTGTCTTGTGGACAGGATGCTGATGGCGCTGTCGAGGGGACTGGGACTGGGAGATCATGTCCTCAAGGAAGCACTTGGCGGAGATGGACTGGAGCAACTCCTAAAGATCAACTACTACCCGCCGTGTCCTCGGCCTGACCTGGCTCTCGGGGTGGTGGCTCACACTGACATGTCCGCTATCACCATTCTCGTCCCCAACCATGTCCCTGGTTTGCAGGTCTTCAACGATGAGCACTGGATCGACGTCAACTACGTTCCTGATGCTGTCATCGTCCACATCGGTGATCAGATCGAGGTCACCAAAATAACTAAAAGTATACATATCTCATTCATTCTTCTTCCTACTCATCTATTGGCGTTGTGTTACGTAGATTTTGAGCAATGGGATATACAAGAGCGCGTTGCACAGAACAACCGTGAACAAAGAGAAGGTCAGGATGTCGTGGCCAGTCTTCTGCTCTCCTCCTGGTGAGATGGTAATTGGCCCTCTGCAACAGCTCGTCGGTGATGAGAGCCCTCCCAAGTACAAGGCCAAGAAGTACAAAGACTACGCCTACTGCAAGCTCAACAAGCTTCCACAGTAAACGTTGTTACGTTACATGCTTTTCCCGTTCCTCGTCATCGTTTAACAGCGCTCATGAGTCCGATGAGACAACTGATTTGTTTGCTTATTTTCGACGCGAAACTAAATCAATATCTCAATATTAGATCGGTTCTAATATAATCTATCATGATCTAATCGGTGATAATCAATAAACATTTGGATGGTAACTGACATAATGGTTGATATAGATATGAAGAAGAATACAACAGTAAATGTTGTCGTTTTCAGAGACTTCGCATGTGTGCTCCGCCGTGGTAATTCGACTGCCGACACACTTAACCTAGAAAAGAGTGACCCCAGTGCCAGACCGGCAATCTCCCTTCTTATCTTAGCTTATCACAATCCACCAACTCGAGCGTAAGAAACGGCCTCAGGCTAGTGCGTAGCACCCACGCAAGATGGAGGTGGAGAGGGTTCAAGTCATCGCGTCCGTCTGCGCCGCCGACGGTGTTATGCCTCCGGAGTTCATACGGTCGGAGCACGAGCAGCCGGGCATCACCACCTACCGCGGCCCCGCGCCGGAGATCCCCGTCATCGACCTCGCGGGCGCCGACCGGGATCGGTTGACGATCGCCGTCGCCGAGGCCAGCCGGGAGTGGGGAATCTTCCAACTGCTGAACCACGGGATCCCGAGGGAGGTGATCCGTGAGCTGCAGCGCGTCGGCAAGGAATTCTTCGAGTTGCCGCAGGAGGAGAAGGAGATGTACGCGATGGAATTCAAACCGGGGAGCTCGGAAGGATATGGGACTAAGCTGCAGAGGGAGTTGGAGGGCAAAAAGGCCTGGGTTGACTTCTTCTTCCACTACGTATCGCCGCCGGCTCGCGTCAACCACGCCATCTGGCCCAAGAACCCTTCTGATTACAGGTAAAGTGATCAGTTCTCTCTCTTTCTCACTGTTCTATGTGTATATCAAGCTATCTTTACTGGAGGCAATTTCTACATTGAATCTAGGGAATTGTTTTCTTGTGTGTTGATTGAGATGATGACTCGTAGTAGGTGCCTCCGGCAGAAGGCAATGGTTATGTTTGTCGAGGATGTTGACTCGCCGGAGATTTGGTAGAATTGGCCTGCGGAAGGAGACGATGTGGACGGGGCTTTGCCTTTAGAATATGGACCTCGTGCTTCACGCATAGCATCAATTTTGTTTGTCTCATTCGTATCGTTGCATATGATACCACTTAGTACTACAGCCTTACTGAGTTAATTAGTTTATCAATTTCGTTTGGTCTAAACCACTGATCAAAATATTTAAGTTGAAGTTTATAGTAGTATACTCATCAGACCCTTATAAATTAATTTTAATCTTATCCATTTTCGATGTGAAACTAATATATTACAAGAGCCATGGAGAGGAGAGAGGACTACCGATCCAAACCTATGAATGACTGAAGCTTGATGAGTCCATGATTCGATGATAGCAGCATCGCTAGAAAAATATTGAAACATAAGGAGAGATTGAAATGAGGATTAAAAGAATAGTCCTACGATAACAAATATAAATATAGTAAGATAATATATATTGAGTTGGATCCCCAAATCAAATAGCTTAAGTTTTTTTATTGAGTTGATATCTGACTTGATTATCTAACCAATTTGATTCAATTTCATAGTTAATGGATTTCTAATATGATATCCGGAAAAAAAATTAGAGAGTAAAAAAAAATATTCATATGTTGAAAAAGATTAAGATTAAGATTGTGTAAAAGATATCATAGATATGAGATGTCGGAGGGATGAATCAGCCGCTGTTTTGACAGGAAAGCAAACGAGGAATATGCCAAACACCTGGTGGGACTGGTGGACAAGATGCTGACGACCCTGTCGAGGGGACTGGGACTGGAGGAGCATGTCCTCAAGGGAGCACTCGGTGGAGATGGACTGGAGCTACGCCTAAAGATGAACTACTACCCACCGTGTCCTCGGCCTGACCTGGCTCTCGGCGTGGTGGCGCACACTGACATGTGTGCTATCACCTTCCTCGTCCCTAACCTTGTGCCGGGTTTGCAGGTCTTCAAAGATGAGCACTGGATTGACGTCAACTTCATTCCTAATGCTGTCATCGTCCACATCGGTGATCAGATCGAGGTCACTCAGAAAGAACAAACTATATACATATACCATTCATCTTCTTTCTCATCTATTGGTGTCGTGTTATGTAGATTTTGAGCAATGGAACATACAAGAGCGTGCTGCACAGAACGACCGTGAACAAAGAGAAGGTGAGGATGTCTTGGCCAGTGTTCTGCGCGCCTCCTGGTGAGATGGTAATCGGCCCTCTGCAACAGCTCGTCGGCGATGAGAGCCCAGCCAAGTATAAGCCGAAGAAGTACAAAGACTACGCCTACTGCAAGCTCAACAAGCTTCCGCAATAAATCTCCCTACAATTCGATCTTCCTATCTCTCTATGTTTGAATTTAATTGGGTTGCCCAATTCCTCAGCATTGCCGAGAATAAACGAGTCTGGTTTCATACCACTCATGGCTGTAACTTGTGATACAGCTGCTTGAGTAAATGCGTGATGGCTGATTCTGAAATTACAAAGACTACGCCTACTGCAAACTAAAATTTATAGCCAATGAAGATAAAAGATTTACGTAGTGGACGCAAGTAATCGAGACAAGTAATTGAGACTTTGGATTTATAAGTAATGTCGTCGTACTGAATGCCTGCGAACATCACAGATTGGTGCGGAGTTATCTAGATTTAACGATCACACGAGCGGCGTCACGTGTTCTGCGTGTGCATCCGACCCAGTCTGGTTCGTCTCTGATCTATCCTCCCGATGCTTTCTGGCTTTATCTTTCTCGTTAGACATCATTCAGTCTCCGGTGAGTTTCCATCAACCCTTTATTTTCTCTTTCGGGCATCCATGGCACCGAGACGAGAAGACTCCCAAAGGCAGGCTACTGCCTACACGGAGTCCACTCCACATCTTTATTCTTGTTCCCTTTACAACATACGATAAAGCAATTCTGGCGACAGGTATTGCGTTTTCGGCAAAAGGCATTCCCCAGTCAATGGCCCCCTAATTGGATCTCGGAGCAAGAGAAAGGTAAAGAAGAGGAAAAGAGAACCCCATGAGCCCATCAAAAGAGCCTGGCGGTATCATCAAACCCTTAAAGATGGTAGAAAAAGAGGCAATCGCATGTTACTGCTCCAGGAAAGACAGCAGGCTGCTTCACGCTGCCCGACTGAGTATGACCAGACCAATAGTGCGATGATTAATTGCATTGCCAGAAGCTTCAGCTGGGAATCATCCGAAACATAGTAGACATAGTCGCCTCTTTGTGTATGCATCGTCCTCAAAATAACAGCCACACATCGATCCGCTGTCCTCCCTGCTCTTCTGTCGCTTTCTTGTTGCTTTGTTTCTTGTCATTTTATGTGGATCAACAAGTGGGTCAGCCTGCGATGTAGTCTGCATGGCAGCACGAGGACGGGGAATCTCTGAGAACTATCACGTTCCGAGTAGTTTTTGATTTGGAGCTTGGAAGAAGACACCATTCTGTTCTTTCTCCTTGTTGGTGATGATATTTCCACTGCTGCTCATCCACTCCACTCCCCCCAGCTGTTTCCAGGTTTCCGGTTTCGATTGCTGATTTAGACTACCTTTTCTTGGATTAATGTTACTACTGTGGCGTCGTGCATGCTTTGCTTGACCAACCTAAAAAGAGTCTTCCCTCGTGTAGACTTCGCTTTTCCTCTTTTCGAAGGTCGAGAAGGAGGAGAAGAAGAAGAAGTTTCTTTTCATGGATTCGTATTCGGGGTTTCAGCACCGAACCATTAGGATTGGATTATTTACATTAGCTCTCAGCAGTACACAACGAAGCAACTACGAAAGTGGCGAAGCTGAAAAGATCAGAAACAACATGACATACGCTAAGATCGATGAATGGACCAAATCTAGACTAGAAGCTGCGAGAAGAGATCGGTATGCATGTTAACAAGGGGGGGGAGACGACGGCATTAGATTGAGCCCCAAATCTTCCTTGTCTAACACCAGACGTGGTTTTGTGGACGGCGACGTCGTCGTCTCGTGGACGTCCAAGCCACGCTTGTTGTTGCTGCTACTGGTACAGCCATCAAGTGGCACCCCAAAGAGCTTGGGCTTCGCGCTACTGCTCTCTTCGTTGCAGCCTCTGTTCTTGTCATCGGTCGCGTTGTCTAGCGGAGGAGGCGATGGCTCGTCGGCGATGGTGAGGGAGCTGCTGGAAGTGGGACTTCCGGAGGTGCGACCCCCTCGCCGTTGAAAAGACGAGGGCAGGAGAAAGTTGGCGGAAGCAGCGGCGGCGGAGCTGGGGGCGACGGGGCGGACGTGGTTCTGGACGAAGTAGATGATGTCGTTGTAAAGCTTCCGCATGTGAGCGAGCTCCGACAGCAGCGCCGCGTTGCTCCGCCGCAACCTCTCGTTCTCATCCAACAACGCCGCCGCCGTCGCCTGCCCCCCTCCTCCGCCTCCTACTCCGCTGACCATTCTAACAGCATTAGCGGCATCGACATCATTGCCCCCGAGGAGGAGGATACGCGACGACGGGGTGGCGTCCTGCCAGTGAGGGACGGCAAGACGGTAGTCGTCGAAGTGGTGGTAGAGAGGGAACGAAGGAGGAGACGAAGCAAACGGAAACGAGGAGGAAGAGGGGGAGCAGGTCTTGCGGCGGTGGATCTCGCACAGCAGGTGCTTCTCGCCCTTCCGAAAGAACTCATTCGCGAACTCCCATCGCTCCGGCACCACCTTCCGAAACCCCTGCCACCATTAACAGACCGAAGAAGAAACAAGACGAGCTCAGCTACAAACACTAGGAACAAGGAAAAGCAGAGGAAGACGAGGAACAGGGGAGCAAGCATACGTAGGTGTTAAGCTGGCGGACGAAGCTGGAGAAGTTGTTATGCTTGAAGTAGTTGGGGAGGACGTCGCGGGCGAACTCTGGCGGGCGCCACACCACGAAGGTGGAGGTGCGGTCGTCCCCCCAAGAGACGATGTGGTCGGTGGCAGGGTCGTCCACCAGTTGATACGTCTTCGTCAGGAAAGGCGCCGGCAACGGCTTGTTTGTCTCCGCCGCCACTCCTCCTCCTCCTTCCCAACACATCTCCATTAATTCTACTGC